GGTCCCAGTTCGTCGATATAGCGATGCCAAGAGGTACCTTTGGCGTCTTCACAGTGACGCTGAAGGCACTTGACCGTTGTTCAGTTTTTGACGCCTAGGGAGTGAGAATGGGTGATACATGTACTTTTACTATGGTAAAATAAATATTCAGTGATATCTTCAAAAGATTTTTGAATTTTGGCAGACTTTCTTCTCTATGTAGTGTTGATATGGAAACTAATAAATGTCATAAATTTGGTTATGCTTGCATGTGTGGAAATATTTAAACCACGCGTGTTACAACTAACGCTGTGTTAGTTTGTGCCCCGTGCTCCCCTACTGTATATTATGCTGCTGTCTCTTAATCAGGGCCGTTGCTAGTGGGGTGAAAGGTGGTGATGATCCAAGGGGCCCACGGCTGAGTGGGGCCCCCCGGCGATCTCAACTGACTGGCTGAGGCCAGCCTAAAAAGATGCTCAGGACAGTTGACGGGCCACTGCTGCGCATCGTCACGAAAGCTTATCATTTGCACGTGTTTTTAAGCCTTGCCTATTTAAACATTCAAAAGAGATTAAAGCATTCAAACACACGACGCGGAAAGAGAGTTGTGTCTCACGGACAGCAACACTGAACCAAGCTCTCCTTCGTGTCCTCCTGCACCTGAACAAACAAATACAAATCGCAGTTTAAACATACATACAGAAAAAGATGTGAAAGAGCCCAATTCAGCACCTGCAGAAATCGGATTTGTATCATTATAATGGATGCATTGTCTCTTAAAGTGACCGCGCCTAATTTAGCTATTAGCTGCTGTCGGTGTCCTTTAACTCTTTCCCTGCCATTGACAAGTTATCTCGTCTTTTAGAAGAAAACGCTTCCCTGCTAAAGACGAGTTTTTACGGCTTTTAGTGTTTTCACTGTTATACATTCGGGGGCGCTATTATGCATCTTCTGAACGAGTACAAAACCTCCCGAACAAAAACAAATGTGAACAGGATGGAGAAACTAGCGATCTCTTATGTAAACAGATGCATATGAAAAATAATGCGATCATCAGCAATAGACAGCATATAGAAAACTGCATAACGTTACGGAGTAAAATGTTGATCCAGGAAGTGGTATATGTCTGTGCAAGCTTTGGAGGTATTGATGGAAGCGATTTACTGGATTTATGCTTTATATGCTTTGATAATCGTACTGAATATTATCCAGATGTAGTTTTTGATAAAAATGTGATTTTCTCACCTTTTTGCTCAAAATAATGCATTTTTTATGAAACCTACCTATATTCAAGTGTTGATAAAAAAATAATGCTTTAAGCTAGAATAAAACAGATTTTTTTAGAGGCTCTGATCTTTATTTTGGTGTATTGCATATTCAAATATTCATACAGCAAAATATACTGGAGGCATCAAATTTGAGTGAAAATCATCAAAATCGCTGGCGGTGGCTGGCAACTTTTTTCAAAAATGCTGGCGGGGAAAGAGTTAATGTTAATCAAAGAAAAAGAAAAAAGAAAATCACTCACTGCTCTTGACTGAATTGCTTTGTAATTTTAACAAGAATTAATCCACAGTCGAACCAAAAATTATTCAGACACCAGATATAATTTTTGATATTTTTATATTTTTAACTAATGGGTGCAGGGCACTATAGCTAAGTGAGTATAGCAAAATAAAGTAAACTGTGACATATTATACATGCCCGGTTCTTAAGAGCTATAGAAGGGTGGGCTGGCAGATATCCTGGGTGGGCAATTTGTTTTATTTTATTTATTTTTTTTTGTGGAGGGTGGGGAGGGGGTGGGATACAGTCTAGAGATTTAGACTGTAGCTATTGCTATTTTAACTATGTAACTTATTGCAGTGATGTTGATATATGTACACTGAAAAAAGAGCAATATCATGCTTTCATGGGCAGCCTATAGCGAACCATAGAATGTCATTAAATTTCTCAACAAAATAAACTTTTTTTCTTGAATGAATAGTAAAAAACGGCCCTCTTTGTTCTCTTTCTCTGGATCATTGTTTCTACACTGGTGATTCTTTTAACCAAGTTTTTAAAATGTGTTTTTTATATACCAAACAAGGCCGTAATAATGTCTACTCTAGAACATTGGGGGGACCAATTGTTTTGAGGAAAATAAAGACCAGGGGCCGTATGTATAAAGCCGCTCAGAGTAAAATTTTAGTCCCAAGTGTGTCAAAATTCTAAGAATGACGTAATTTTACTCTTATTCCTAGACGTAAGAATGAAAGTGATTCATAAAGGTTCCTAAGTGTTAAGACTAGGTCCCAGCTCCTAAATTATTTAAGAGAGCTGAAGAGGTCTCCTAACCTAGTTAGGAGTAACAAGATGGCAGCACAGAGGAGGAAACAAACACTTTCCAGCGAAGATATGACATATTGGAGTTATATGATGATATGGAGTTGATAAAACGATACAAACTTGATTGCCAAGATCAAAAAGCCTTTTTTACATTTTTTTTTAACTGACAAAGTAAGAAATTTAATAACCTCTTCCACTCAACAAGTCAATGCTCTAACTGCAGAAATGTAGTAATTAATTTTTTTTGGCTGTAAAATTGGAAAAATGCAGCAATGTACCGGTGATGACACAGTAAGCAGGGTTTTACATATTGTGGCACTAACCCCACCAAACACAACAGTGGTTTGTCCAAGAAATTGATTTTGTTGCTAGGCTTTTGAAAAAAAGTCTCTAAAGGGATGAGGAAGTGTAGTGACAAAAATCACTAAATTGGCAACACTATGCAATATGCTTGCAAAATCTTGAACATTCATTTATTTATTTTTTGTAATTAAGGGTGAAATTTCCTAGGCCGGACCTCACTTTTGGCCACTACTATATGGCAATTAATTAACTTTCCAACTGACCGCCAAACCATATTGCAAAAACAAGCCACTTTTATGAGGATTGTGGGCTTTCATGGAGTTGTTGGAGCCACTGATTGAACTCATGTTCACATCATTGCTCCAACTGTAAACGAGGAGACATACCAATAGGAAATGAAGCATCAGTAATAATTTGTGATAATTTTGCAGAATGCAAAGCATTAAAAAAAAAAAAAATACATTTAAATATTAAAATATTTCAGTGTCTTAATTAAATGATTTTACTGTAGTTACATTAAATGATTGGTGTTGCGCTGCTGTGACTTTACATGAGCAGGCTCACTATTGGCTGATTCAGAGGTTGAGGTCAGCCATTTTGTGTTGACATCATTGTAGTCCTTAGTTCACAACACTTAAGTGTCACCTCAGTCAACACTTAAGAATCAGTCTTAGACTTTACTGAAAGCTGCTTTTAGCTTCTTTATAAAAGTCTCCTACTCTTAGAAAAGTCCTACTTTTTACTAAGAATTTTTTGACACTTAAGTCAAAGCTTAAGACTATTCTTAAAGGGATCCCTGGGTACTAAGACTTGTATGGCTTACTAGATTACAGTTGCCCCAAAGTATAGAAATATCATATACAATTAACAAAATATGTCTTAGTTCTTATCAAATTTATTAAAAAAATCGGTAGTAGTACGCTGCCATTGTTGTTGACATCGCAGTGCATTCTGGGCTGTGACGTCAAATGGTTGCACCGATCACTGCTTCGTTATTTTGATTCTGCTATGTTACAAAAAATGTCATCTGTTCAGCCTTTTCAATTTGAGCCAGAGCACGAAATTAGTGAGGATCAAAACATTGAAGACGTTCAATATCAAATCAATCAAAACGAAGACGATCGGAGGGTTTATGAGGCGAGAGTGGGGCAAAATGGATGGTGTCTCTGTGGCTATTGCTTGCCGATGCTGACCGAGAAGGAGAGCATTTGCTGTAAGGAGCTGCAATTTTTCACTGTAGCTGTTCCATGTAAGTTTATGGATCCAACTTTAGTTGTATGATTATAGCGTGTAAAAATCGTCTATGTCACCTGAATGCATTACACAGTGAAACGTGCTAAGATGCTACTGCTTTTATGCTATTACAGATATCCCGTGCATCACAGCACACACGAGCTTTGAGGCAGTCTGTCTCAATCGAGACGTGTTATGGGCTGCCCTCGTCAGTCTCCATGACAGGGAGAGTGCCGACTTGCCGAATCGGAACCAGGTGACAAATATGCAAGTCTGTACATCAACCCTCGCGTTTAACTTTACATTTAAAATCATGTAACTAGTTGTAAATTTAAACTCTTTTGTTATCCAGCTGTGATATTTTGCATGAAATGACTATTTCATAACAGCTGTGGGTACTTGCATAAAATGTTTCATGGAATAATTTTTGTTACATTACTGGTAATTTGTATTTTTCTGACCAACATTATTACAATTAATGAAATGTCACCTAATAGTCTGTATTGTATTATTTTGTGCACATTTTTGTCCACAATACTTTTATCATGATGTAGAAGACATAAGGGGTATTAGATGAAAACCTTTGTAGCCTGGTTTCCTTATGTGATTTTAAGTTTTATTTTCCCTATTGAGTACAGGGTATAGTAATTTCAGACAGTGGAGAACAGAAGGATGTGTAGATTCAGCTTACCTTTGTAAACCATGAGACTGACTTCACAGTCTAAGAAGATATTCAAATTGAACATAAGTACTTTGTCTAGAGGCCTCTGTAATTTTAAAGGTTAAGGCAACATAACTGTTTAATAACTTGTTAGTATAAATGTTCCAAAACCTGTTTTTAGGTCTTACAGATATGCTTCATATCGTCAGTTCACATGGAGGATGCATGGCAGGCTGGGCAGAAGAATCCGCAGAGTCATTCCATCATGTGCAGTTAACAAAATAAGAAACATCTACTCAGATGGAATTTATGCAGGGTTCGAAGATGTAGATATTGATTATACAGAAATAGACCAGGCATGGAGAGACTGGTGATTTTTAAGCTCTTGTATTGTTCAGATTTACAAAACATTTCATCAACTGAATGAGTTATGTACAGGCATTATCAAACAATGTAAACTTTGTACAAAATAAATGTAAAAATAAAAGTTTGTGGATTTGAAAAATGCTGGTTTGTGAAGATCCTCAATCATCCAGGTTCTTGTTAGAGTTGGGGTTAGAGAGAAGTCCCGTTGATATGAATCAACTAACAGAGAAGAATGCTGGTGTGTATGCAATGTGTTTGTATAGATGCAGCTACTTGAAATGTGAAAACTGCTGTGTCTGAAATATGATCTGTGATCTGGATGGTCTTTGTTGTGGTGCCATGATGTGTGTTCTGTCTAGTGTCATGTCCATGCTCGGCTTTAAAGCTGTCACAGAGGAGAGAACATCTGCCACCATTGCCGTCATGTAGCCATAGTCCTTTTTAACAGCCACCCGTCTTGCTCTGAATGACTTGTGAACTTTGCTCCAGGAGATTTTGAACTTAGGTTCACCAACAGTCTCCCCATCTTGAAACACTGCCTGTTTAAAACAGAACATATAAATATACATTAAATGTTAGAGAAGCAGTTTGCTGTAAATTATTACAAATAATTGTAACAAACAGTGGGTGCAAAAGTTGGACATCACATCAAAAATCTGTGATATTTTTATGTAAACTTGGAAATAATCAGGAAGTTTGAGAATTCTACAAGTTCTGACATGTAAAGTGAAGAAGAAACATTTCAGATTCTGAACTATTTCTAGGTCAGAAATCGAACTGAAGCTAATTAGTGTCACTGATTGCATTAACTCATTTGTACAAAGCTTGGATCTCCATGTTCCAGTAAATCAAGCTGCAGCCATTGTTCGCCTGTTATATGGCTTTGCCTCAAGTTTCCAGCAGAACATTGCTGACTAAGTATAATTTTGATAATGGGAAATATGGCATCAGAACTAAATTAAAGTGTCAGAGGTCAGATTGTTATTCTAAACAACAAGGGACTCAAATCATGGCTAGACGGTAGTGCTTAAAAAGGAGAGCTTTGTCAATAGTACACTCACCTGTTCCCTGATTGCATTGTTGTTATGATCCAGAGCAGCAAGCATGGAAGCATGGATCATCTCATCATATCCAAAATATGTTCTCTTCGGAAGGTATTTGAGGTACATGGAGTGGTACACCTGAAACAAATATGTAAAGATGTTAAATTGTGTGTAAAAAATACTACCAAATTATTTTAGATGCAACCTCTGTAACACTGTTTAAAGCTACTAAACATACCTCTAGTGTTGTAGTGTGGATGCACTTTGTCAGGTGGTCCAGGTCTTTCAAAAGTCGCTTGTCTTTAACAGTCCTCACCAGTGCTTTGTGGGCTTCAGATCCTGGACTCAACCAAAGCTTTGTTCTCTCGGTCAGCTCATCAAGGGGCTCATGAGCACATCTATGGTAATGCTTATTGCCTGGCCAGTCATGCCGGTTGGTAACATGGTGTATTACTGACACCCACTTCTCCTTCAGCACCTCAGCATTACCCTCACAGGTTTGGGCACTCCACCATAAATGGTTAACAATGGATGGTATCCACTCTCCCAGGCCCACACATTCTTTCCTCTTAGCTGCAATGGCCATACCCTTGTGTTTTTCGCCCTTACTGTCTGAATGCAGTTGCAGAATTCAAATAAAAAATGGCTTTTGACCTTGTTTTATGCTGCTTTTTACTGCAGGACACAGAGCCAGAAGAAAATCATACAAATGGGAATAAAGATGGGGATCTTAACCATCGTTGAAGATGACGTTGCGACCATCCACTCAAACCCAAATGTAAGGTGCCTGTCTGTGGTTCTAGAGGAGCATATCGTGCTGGATAATGTGCAAGACCTTCCCACTGCTATGGCTCTTCTCTTTGGCTTGATTTATGCCCTGAACATGAACTATCCTAAAGAACTCAAGTACACCTTTGAAACGATTCAAAAGGTGTTTATTGGTCTTGACCCCCAGTGCTCAGCAAGAGTCCAGTCCTTCAAAAACAAACTGTTAATGTCTAAATACCTGGATACGGATAAGGGCAAGCACTAAGCTGTTCCTGTTGTTCCATCTGATGTTTCCGTAAAAGTTCAACATGTCAAAAGAGGAAATATTTTAAATTTTAATGTAATGAACCTTAAATGTTGTGAAACTGGATTGCTCAAACACATTTGTTGCAATTTTTAGGATCCTGAAGTCTTGTTCATAGATATAGCACTTTAAGGCTTGTACTTTGTTACTCCAGCACTTTAAAATATGTTGTGCTGTAAAAGCACTTTAAAAGCATTCCAAGAAGAAAGGAAAGTGTTCTTTTGCCTATTAAGGGTCCTCAATGTGACAAATTGTGAATATTTTCTGTAATGATGGTATAGTCTTTTGTATTGTTTTTACAGCATGGTTTACAGCATTTACAGCATGGCTGAGAAATATGGATGCAAGATTATTCATAGCTAAATCAAAAGATGAAAATAAAGCTGAATCAACTTTATTTTGAAGTTGGCAACCAGCTACAAAGCTTTTTTGAGTTGACTGAACTTCATGCCCATGTAGTTACTACTACATTTTAAAGTAGTACTACTTTTTTTAGTTTTTTTAGGCTACTCGTTTTTTTAAAGATCGCTCAACTCCCTTATCCACCTTCACTGAACTTTCAAAAATGATTTGGCACAACTACAACCACCGAAGTTGAGTAAACTAAAAACTGCTTTGCAGCTGGTTGCTTTATTTTAAGTTAACTCAACTTTTAATTTTTTTTACAGCGGGAGCATTCTGTTAGGAAGTGCAGTTCTGTTTCCATCTGATTCAGATCACAGTGTGAACACAATCTTCGCTCCGGTGGCAGCCATGTTTTTCTGTTTCTGCCCGTCTCCATCATCAGCTTGTGTCCGCTGAGTCTGTATCTGGTCAACATGCTTCTCAGTTTCTTATCCGACACTGTGTACACACTGAAAATAAATGTTTCATTCATCCAATTAAAAAAATGTAGGGTAATGATTCACATCTATATTTTTTAACTTGAGCCAATGAAAAATAAATAACTTGCCCTAAACAATATTTTCTATGTCTATGAAAACTATTTTATAAAACCTGGCAAAAAGGAAGAGCTAGCTAAAAAGGAGAGCTGTGTCAATAGTACACTCACCTGTTGTCTGTTTGCATTGTTGTTATGATCCAGAGCAGCAAGCATGGAAGCATGGATCATCTCATCATATCCAAAATATGTTCTCTTCGGAAGGTATTTGAGGTACATGGAGTGGTACACCTGAAACAAATATGTAAAGATGTTAAATTGTGTGTAAAAATACTACCAAATTATTTTAGATGCAACCTCTGTAACACTGTTTAAAGCTACTAAACATACCTCTAGTGTTGTAGTGTGGATGCACTTTGTCAGGTGGTCCAGGTCTTTCAAAAGTCGCTTGTCTTTAACAGTCCTCACCAGTGCTTTGTGGGCTTCAGATCCTGGACTCAACCAAAGCTTCGTTCTCTCGGTCAGCTCATCAAGTGGCTCATGAGCACATCTATGGTAATGCTTGTTGCCTGGCCAGTCATGCCGGTTGGTAACATGGTGTATTACTGACACCCACTTCTCCTTCAGCACCTCAGCATTACCCTCACAGGTTTGGGCACTCCACCATAAATGGTTAACAATGGATGGTATCCACTCTCCCAGGCCCACACATTCTTTCCTCTTAGCTGCAATGGCCATTTTTTTCAACACTCCTTTTGCCACATGCCAGGGGTCAAATTCATGGTGTTTTTCTTGGTTACTGGCCCTCATTTCTTTGACAATTTGTGGGTGCCTGTCCGTGGAAATGCTAGAGACCTTCACTCCATTTTCTTCTATGGATTTAAGAGCTTCCTTAAAACCTCTGATCTCCATGGCATTAGAGCTTGAAACCTGGGTGCAGCTTATCACTTTGAAGTCTGCAACTTTTTGACTCTCCACATCTATAAAAGTGTAGGTGCAGTATTTGGCACAATGACCGGGAGAGTCACACCGGCCATCTCCACAGAGGACAACTTCTCTTGACTTCATACTGCTCAACACTGCATTCTGTTCTTTGGCCCATGTCTTCTCAATAGCTGGGAACACATACTTCTTCCTAAGTGTTGTGTATGTGTCTTCGCTTATTGTTTTGAGGTTCATGTTCTTACAAAACTGTTCAAATTTAGCAAAGTGAATGCCACTGAAAAACACAGACGCTGCCAATAGCAGGTTTCCAACACCCTTGGTACTGCTGACAGTAGGCTGAGACTGCCATCTGTAACTACAGCCATTAGCACACGTGAGCTCCAGAGTCAGCTGTGATCCTTCATTTTCCATCTCCTTCATATCCTCCATGGCAATCAAAGAACCACACTTTATACAACGCTGCATCTAGCGTTTCTTGTCTCTGTCGTTTCTCAGCGCGGATTTCACTCGATATCCGGGTGTGTTTAGACTCCTTGTGGGGGAAAATTCGATGGTACAGCATTTGGTTTAAGTCTACGTTTAAATCCGTCGGCACATGTAAGTTCTTTCATTAGCTGTGGTCTACTAAAGGCCTCAAAGGCATCAGGGCTAAAGTGGCGAGAACACAGACGCGGGTCTTTGGGAAGTTGTATTCGTCCACAGGCATCTTCCCATTCTTTTCTCCTCTTCTTGTTGCTAGGAAAGCTGTGAAGACTTACATCGCTGCTCTTGTTGCCCTTCGACTGAAAATTACAGCCAAAAGCAGCACAATGTGGCATCGTATCCGTGTTTTATATTACGAGTTGTGTCAAAATAGCAACAGGTAGTGCCAGTAGCTCACCGAGTGCAACCATTTAACGTCATCAAAATAATGGCGCCCCCCCACAGTCCAAAATAAGCAAACGACGATGTGGATTTTTTAACTAACGTAAATCTTTCATGTAGTTTCTACTACATTTTTCATTAACAGACATCATTTACGTTATTTTAAGCCATACAAGTCTTAATACCCGGGGTTCCCTTTAAGAGCATTTCTGAGAAGTTTTATACATATGGACCCAGGGGCCGTATGTATAAAGCCGCTCAGAGTAAAATTTTAGTCTTAAGTGTGTCAAAATTCTTAGAATGACGTCATTTTACTCCTATTCCTAGACTTAAGAATAAGTGTGATTCATAAAGGTTCCTAAGTGTTAAGACTAGACTTCAGCTCCTAAATGATTTAAGAGAGCTGAAGAGGTCTCCTAACCTAGTTAGGAGAAACAAGATGGCAGCAAAAGGAGGAGACACACTTTCCAACGAAGATATGACATATTGGAGTTATATTTTGATAAAATGATACAAACTTGATCGCCAAGATAGTCAATTCTTTTTGTAACTGACAAAGAAATTTAATAACTTCTTCCACTCTACAAATCAATGCTCTACCTGCAGAAATTAAAGTAGTAAAATTTTTTGGCTGGAAAATTGGAAAAATGCAGCAATGCACCGGTGATGACACAGTAAGCAGGTTCTTACATATTGTGGCACTAATCCCACCAAACACAACAGTGGCCAAAAGTGATGTGTGGAGGGTTTTTTTAATGACCCCACATTTCACTTAAACTGTTCAAATATGAGTGAAAAAAAACACTGACCAGTGTTGCCAACTGCTTTCAACTGAAAGTAGCTAAAACAGTTGCTAAATGTTGCTAGATTACGTCATAATGTTCCTAGGCCGGACCTCACTTTTGGCCACTACTATATGGCAATTAATTAACTTTCCAACTGACCGCCAAACCATATTGCAAAAACAAGCCACTTTTATGAGGATTGTGGGCTTTCATGGAGTTGTTGGAGCCACTGATTGAACTCATGTTCACATCATTGCTCCAATTGTAAACGAGGAGACATACCAATAGAAAACGAAGCATCAGTAATAATTTGTGATAATTTTGCAAAATGCAAAGCATTAAAAAATAAAAAAATAAAAATAAATAAATAAATATTAAAATATTTCAGTGTCTTAATTAAATTATTTTATTGTAGTTACATTAAATGATTGGTGTTGTGCTGCTGTGACTTTACATGAGCAGGCTCACTATTGGCTGATTCAGAGGTTGAGGTCAGCCATTTTGTGTTGACATCATTGTAGTCCTTAGTTCACAACACTTAAGTGTCACCTCAGTCAACACTTAAGAATCAGTCTTAGACTTTACTGAAAGCTGCTTTTAGCTTCTTTATAAAAGTCTCCTACTCTTAGAAAAGTCCTACTTTTTACTAAGAATTTTTTGACACTTAAGTCAAAGCTTAAGACTATTCTTAAGAGCATTTCTGAGAAGTTTTATACATACGGGCCCAGGGGAGACCGTGCACTTTCCAAGAACGAAAGAACGTGTTGGAATTATATGATGACAGGGAGTTGATAAAACGGTACAGACTTGATCGTCAAGGTATTCTTTTTGTTACTGACCTAGTCAGAAATTCAATAACTCCTCAAACTCTACGAAACAATGCTTTAACTGCAGAACTGAAGGTAATAATGACTCTGCGTTTTTTGGCAACTGGGAAAATGCAGCAGTGCACCAGTGATGACTTGGGCCCATCACAGTCCACAGTCAGCAGGGTCTTAAATAGCACTATTGCAGCACTAACCACCCCAAACATAGTAAGGCAGTTCATTGACTTCCCAACTGACCTTCAAACTTTACGGCAAAAGCAAGAAGCTTTTATGAGAATTGCAGGCTTCCCCGGAGTTGTTGGAGGCATCGATGACACTCACGTTCACATAATTTCTCCAACTGTAAATGAGGAGGCATACGTCAATAGAAAAGGATTCCACAGTATCAATGTTCAAGTTGTGTTTGATGCCGCTTACAAGATCCTGGATCTTGTGCCAAAATGGCCAGGGTTAACACATGATTCTCGGGTTCTTTCTGAGAGTGGCCTCACTGGGTTATTTGAACAAAATTATGTTCGCCCCGGATGTCATCTGGTGGGTGACTCAGGATACCCTTTAAAACGCTGGCTTCTTACCCCTTACAGAAGACCACAAGGTGAACAGCAGCTCAATTATAACTGTAATTGTACTGTACAGGACTGAACTTCAGGCAAGACACCAATTTTGTTCAATAAGTGCATTCTTGATTTGTTCTTGTATCATTTTTCGTCTTAAAGAGCACACAAAGCAACAAGAGCTGTGGTGGAGAGAGGAATTGGACAGCACAAAAGGATATTCCATGTCCTTCATGGAGAGATTAGACAGTCCCCTGACCGTGCTAGTCACATTATTATGGCTTGTGGCATTTTGCACAATATTTGTAATATACCACTGCTTGATGATGACGATGACGACGATGACAGTGATGATGATTATGATGGTAATAACAACAGTACCACATTACAAAGTGGTTCAAGCAGAGAATCAATAAGGGACTGCTTTGCAAACTTACATTTTGGGTAAGAAAAACATGTAGACAAGAAGCAACTATTAACAAATTTGTGTTCACACACTTTTATTTACTCAAACATATGTTCAATCATTGATTCTTTAATCTCTTCAGTTTTAGTGTATAATATTCATTTTGAACTTTCAACAACTTGATTTGTAATTTTATTTTTTTTTTATTTTAAGAGACTCAATGTCATCTTCAGGCGCTACACTCTGTGCAAACCCTGTGTTTTGTGAAGCAGAAGCCTCTTTTGGAGGACACAGGAAGACATCCTGAGATGTGGTGCAATGTGGCACGTCAGATGGCCCGGCTCAGCACTACATTTACATACAGAAAATATTAAACAGTGCAAACATGTTTATTCAATCCGATGTGGTGTGGTGTTTTTTTTTTTTCAGTGTCCATAGATTAAAGTAACTAATGTCAATTTAATACAGAAAATGAATTACTGAAATAAATGAACTTTTCCACGACATTCTAATTTATTGAGATGCACCTGTACATTGTACCACCTTTTCTCACAGTCTTCAGCAGGCCGGCTTGTCCGAGGAAATGCTGCATTTATAGTCATGGCAATTTATTGCCATGCATTTTTTTTTCCTTTACTTGTTACAGTCGGACTGAATTTTCCTCGTATGATGTCCTTCCAAATTTAAGGACTGATTGCACTAGAAGAATACTTTCTTCCTTGGACCAGTTTGGTTTTCTTTTTGATTCCATTTTTAAGAGTTTGGAATATTGATTTTTCTTTTATATACAGCTGAGAGTGCAATTTGGGTGATGTGATTAGTCAACTTAATTACATAAATATAATCCATCTGTGAATTTAATTAATATGTAAACCTATTAATAAAATTGTACTAGATTGTGAAATAATGCCAAGGCACTTAAGTATATTTTTGCTCTTCCCTGTACACACTCTCCTTATTTGTAGTTGTGTAAAATAAGTGTAGATATTTGTAATGTTTTTGCACATAATGCAAAGCTACCTTTTAAAATAAATTTAAATAACAGAACAATTGTATTGTCTGGATTTATAAATGATGTCATGTTGCTGTGACTTCACCCTTGCAGGCTCACTACTGGCTGATTCAGAAGTCGAGGTCAGCCATTTTGTGTTGACATCATTGTAGTCCTTAGTTCACAACGCTTAAGTGTCAACTCAGTCAACACTTAAGAATCAGTCTTAAACTTTACTGAAATTTGCTTTTAGCTTCTTTATAAAAGTCTCCTACTCTTAGAAACCACGACATTCTAATTTATTGAGATGCACCTGTATGTGTGTGTGTATTTAAAATATTTAATACACCAATTTTTTATATTAAAATTATGAAAAAGTAATTTGAATGAATGATTCAATGACTCACTAAATGATGCAGTCGACACAAATGTTATTGAAGCGCCAGTTACTTTCAAAAGGGGATTTGCTCTGTTTTGATCGCTACAATAGAAATCAATGTTTATATATGGGCCAGTATTCACAAAACATCTTAAGGCTAAAAGTAGCTCGTAACTCGCCGATTTAGGAGAAAATCTTAAAAATAATGGGCGTGTCAGTCCTAAATTTAGGACTCCTACATTTTTGTTCTAAGAGTATTTCACAAAGCGTTTTAGCGCTAAAATTTGCTCCTAAATCTGTGAAACATTAGGAGTATTGAAGACCAAATCTGAACTATCCTAAAATGGCTGTTGCACTCCACATTTTTGATTATATCCTTAATATATAGCTGTATCCAGTTTGGTTTTCTTTTATTTTTGCATGTCTTACTATCAGCCATGATTATTCTAGATTATTGTAACAATAAATTATTAAAACGTTAATGCAGTGTACTTGCTGTTTTTCCCTAACACATTCATACTTATTATATTTGCCGGTGCGCTGTGGCAAGCCTTTTTTACGTGCGCTTGAGCGCTTATTAGGCTATGTAGGCAATTAAAGGCTCATTATTATGATTTATATGGTTTATTAATAAAAGTGCGACTAATAGTCGACTAATG